CAAATGTATTCCTTGAACTACTTTTGCTGTATTCTAACACTAAATAGTAGCCTTAGCATTAGTAGTAGTTATTATTTTATGGAGTCCTAATTATGTGCCAGCAACTCTTCCAAAAATTACACATATAAATTTACATAGCATGCTGTAAGTAGTATGCTATTGTTATTTGCCAGTTATAGATGAGGAAACAGGACCAAGAGGTTAAGAAACCTGCTATGACAGAATACTGCCCTGTAACCTGAAATTATTACACAACAAAGACACTTTACAGATGTGAACGAGTGAAGGACTAACTCTGAGATGGGCAGATTATCCTGGATTATCCAGGAGGAACCAGATCAGCTTTTCAGAACCAATCAAGGGTCCTGAAAAGAGACTCAGAATCAGAGAAGGAGATTTTGAAGATGTCATGATATTTGCTGGTCTTGTACTTGAGGGAAGAAACCAGAAATCAAGGAATGCAGGCAGTCTTACCAGCTGGAAAACACAAGGAAAGGGATGATCTGTATATACATATTTCACAAGAAAAGCAACTTTGATTTTAGGACTTCTGAATTAAAAAACTGTAACATAATACATTTGTGTTACTTTATGCAGCCCAGTTTGTGGTCATTTGTTATAGGAACAGTAAGAAACTCCTACACTTGCCCAGGGTGGAGGGAAGACTTAAGCCCATCCAGATGACCATGACGATGAACTATTGTAGAACAAGACTACCGGTGCTTGTAAGGTAGTGACAGCGGCAGAACAATTTGCAGCTTGTTACTAGGAAATTATGTTCCATATCCTCCCTCCCGTGGTGAACCAGGATATGGTAGGGCCACATTATTAATATTGCTAGTAATCCAGTCATTAAAAATATAGTCCCAGCTGTTTATCTTTGCCTTCACTATCACTCATGCCATTCACAGCAACATGGATGGAGCTGGAAGGGATCATGCTCAGTGAAATAAGCCAGAAAGAAAAGAAAAATACCGGATGGTCTCACTCATAGCAGGAATTTAGAAAACCTGATTAAGGGACCAGAAAAAGACTAATTATAATAAAGTAAAAATCAAAATCAACAAGCAACTATAAACCAGAGATATACTACAGGGGCTCGGACAGGAGGAAAGGAAGGATTAGGGTCAAAAAAAGGGGGCAGAACTGTATGGGGAATATAACCAAAATGAAAATGCATACATTGTAAAAATGAAAAAGGATGTAAGAATTATATAAAATAAAATATATTTATAAAAAAATATAACCTCGGTTATTTAGTGCACTAGTTAACAAATCTAAGCTAGAGTAATTTTCCCTTTCTATCAGTAACGTGTCTCCTTTTCCACCTTTGGACTATAGATACTTTATTGTATCTATTTTGCTCTTTATCTATTTTGTTTCCTTCTGACTTACAGTCTTTTCTGTAGTCAGTTTTCTAATACCTCTGCTCTTCTTACTTGCACAGTTGAATTGTGTGCCTATTCTTTTCCCAAAGTATCTGACAAAAGGTAGAAATAAATGTGATATGGTTGTCAATTTAAATATTAATATTACTTTGGAAACTTAATTTAGTTTCTAAACAGTTATTGAATTGGATTAATTTCATTAATGGTCTCATACTCGGTCTCTTTTTTAGGTTTGTTTCATTACAAAGAAATACTATTATGAGCCATCAGAACTTTTTCTTTTGTGTTTGCATTTGGCAGTACTCTTTTTTTTAGAGTCCAGAAATCTGAAAATCTTTGTGAAATTAATTCACCCTGAATATTACCCTTTTTGGCTAAAACATAAAATGTTGCTAAGTTGACCCTATCAGTGATGTGAAACCCACGTTCTTTTAAGTTCTAAAAGTAAGGTTTTCAAAAATGTAAAAAAACTGGTGTTATTCAAATATAGAATAAGTATGTATTATAGATGTAATTTAATTCACTGATGAAGGAACCAGGAACGGTGGTAAAACTACTTCAAAGAAATGTCAAGAGACTGTGTGGGACAGCCCAGCAGAGAATGTTGGGTTAATATTAGCAGATTAAGTGCACACTTGGTGACATCATGTCCAACCAGGAGACAAAACCATAACCTTCAGGAATATCTTTTCTACCAGACAGAAGTCCTCTGCATCTCTGTGGGGAGCAAACTTACAAATTCACATGGAGCCTAGGAGAGTCTGGCTCTAATCTGTAATAAATAGTAAAGCCAGACATTTGTAAACTCACCTGTGAGCGAATGAATCTTTGCAAAAGTCTGTTAGAAAATGCTGCACTCTGACATTGGAAGGATGTGAAGTTATTCCTTTGATTTATTTCTAGTTTTTCCAATTTTTCTTAAAAGTAGTAAGATCACTTTCAAGAGAGACTATATAACTATGTCTGCAGCAGCACCCTTGGAGAGCTAGCTGCTGAGGAGACACTGAATTCAAATGTGCTCTCTCACACACAAGGTTAGTTTTTTCAGAGTAGCTCCAGATTTTTATATTATTAACTTTATGTCATAACAGTGTTTTGTGATTATTATTTAAAATTGTCTGCTGTTAATAGATCAGATGTGCTGTATACAAGGCTTTTAATAACAGTGAGAGCTACCATACTTAATACTGTTAGAAATCATCCTGATTTTTTTTTTAATGAGAAATCTTATAGCTAGATTGTGTGTATGTAATTTGCAGTTTTCCTGTATAGATGCTGTGTACATTCTGAATTATATGAAGCTTATTCTGAATTCTGAATTATATGAGGCTTATTTCCCCTGAAGGTTATTGTTCACACACACACGAAGACTGTGATGTGATGGAGCCAATTTGTTGATGCCCCCACTTCATCACTTGTCCCTTTCAGGTCTGCTTTTCTTTTCTTTTTTAAAGATTTATTTATTTGGGTCTCCCTGGTGGCGCAGCAGTTGAGCGCTGGGTTGCGAGGCTGCCCGCAGCCTCTCCAGCGCCGGTTCAATCCCTGGCTGCCAAGTGAGGGTCCCACATGGTGTGCAGACCGCTGCTCCCCTCAGCGGTGTCCTCCATCTGTCTGCCTGTTCTGTTCCCCAGTGTGGGTCTGGTGAATTCTCTCACCCTCCCATGCTTCTGACTGTACCTTGTGCTTGCATAGATAAATAAATAAATCTTAAAAAAAAGAAAAAGAAAGATTTATTTATTTATGCATACAAGAGGTGTAAGCATACAAGAGGTGTGGCAGGTGAGAGGATTCACCAGAGACAGAGTGGGGAGCAAAACAGGTGGATTCACTGAAATATACTGAGAGGAGCAGCAGGCATGACAGGAGAGGTCTGCTGTGCCATGTGGGTAGCTCCCTGGCTGGCTGGGGATCAAACTCATGCTGCAGGGGCTGCGGACAGCTTCATAGTGCTGTGTCTAACCCCTTGTGCCATCAGGGAGGCCCTCAGGTCTGCTTTTCAAGGTAAACCCCCTCACTCCTGCTTCCTCCTTCTGAGATCTAAGTTACTGGTCACCACTACAGTTTCTCACAACCTTTGGAGCGCTCCTTCATGCAAGGGAAGAGAGAATGTATTGGGACAGAGCCTGGGCCCCTTGGAATTAAGAGTTCTGAGAGTAATTCTAGTTTATGGGAACAAGTATGGTCTCAAGGACCGGAGAGTAGGAAGACTACTGATTGCCATCTGCTTTAACTGCAAGTTTGTAGGCCTGAAAACTGAGTTTTCCCAATTACCTTAACTCAAGTGCTGGGGTCTGGTTGTAACCTTGAGTGAGCAGAATGCCTGTGACAGTTTGTAATGGTTTCCTGAAGGTAATTATTCATTTGCTAATTCTTGCTAACACATTCATCTTCATTGAAAGTGAACTCCATGAGGGTGGGGCCGCATTTGTATCCATCATCCTTCATCTCTTAGTATCCAGCATCCTAAATAAATATTTATTTAGCTTCAAACATAAATATTTCTTTAGCTAAATATTTACTAAGTGAATGTGACAAATTATGTAGTGGTATACCTGAGAATTAAGAAGATAACATAAGAGAGAAAATGGCAAGTGGCTTCACTTTAAGAAATGAAGCAGTGAGCCATTGCTTGAGGTATATCAGTTGTCTGCTGTTTTTCACTACTCCATTTTACCAGTGGAAATATTCCAGACACAAAAGCTTTAGATGCTATCAAAGGCTAATATGACCATTTAAATGTCATGCTAACAATAGTGAAGAAGAAGAAGAAGAAAAAAGAAATAGTAGGCTAAAGTAACACAGACTAAACCTTTACTGGAAAAAAGTCCTCTTGGTAGCTAATTCCAAAATAGACTTTATCTAAAATAAAATCATTATTATGATGGTTGCCTTTAAGCGATACATTAACTCAGAGATAACTGCATTGCTCCAAATGTGTCAGCAGTTAAAGTCTGTCTTATTGGAACTTGTCTTAATTTATAGTAATCTAATAATCATAGAACACATTATTTGTATTTGACACAGAGTTATGTTTTTACCATGCACATCCATTCAGCTATATAACAAGGAATAATTGTTCGGTTAACATTATTCTTTCTACAGAATGCAATGTTTATTCATGTGCACTTGGAAGGATGAATTCTTTATAAGCACATTAACAAGATGTGGGGGAGAAAACCAAACCTTTGAATTTTCAAAAGATAGCTGTATCGAGTAGTTGAAAAAAATTGGGAGGAGAGGTTGATGCATATGAATGGTTCACGTTAAAAATGATGGATAATCTGAATGAAAAGCATATTGGGCATACAAGTAGCTGTAACAATTTTGTCAAATGGAAGAAGATGAGTAAATCCTAATGTCATGTTGTTAACTGGGAGAAGTTGGCTAACCAGTCGCAAAGCAGCTGCATATTTTGGGGCGGGGGGCTTACCTAGCCTCTTCATTTCGCTTACTACATAAATATACTCTGAAGGGTAATGGCCTTTTTTTAAAAAATAAAAGATCTTGTACTTGTCAGATGTGGAAAACACTGGTGGGCTTTTGGAGTGGTATCAGTTCTTTTGTTGTGTCTGCTGTTCGGGGTGCAACTGATCTTGACAGATGCACCGTTACGTTATTGGTGTAACATGACATCTTTTTTCAGATGAACTGAATTAAAGTGATCTTGACAATGAGTAGATAAGACACTGTCAGAAAGCTGAAAAAACATGTCAGTGTCATAGTCATGACACAAATGCAGCAGCACAGCCACACAGTGTCATTAAGTGAGTGTCTCTCGAACGGCGCCCTGGAGAAGACAGGAAGTGGCTCTGCTCTTAAATACCAGCACTTAGTCACAAAAAAATAATAAATAAAACAAAGCACAAAGTTCATCTTAATACTCATTTGAAGTGACTTTGATGAGTCTCTGAGGTGCATATGTTTGTATGGGGATCTCTACACACAGTGCATGTGAAAGAATTTTGAGGCCTCAAAACCACCTTCCTAGGAGCTAGAAAACCATTCAGCTTCAGCCTTTTGAGAATACCGTTAAAAGTATGGGTCATGAAATATGCAAAGTGGTTTTATGGATAGTGATTGTAACCTTTTTTCTGATTTGCTTTTTTCATGGAATGAGGGGAAGCAGTCTTTAATAATACGTGAAAAAGGAATACATTTAAATATGTATTTCTGAATCATGAATTTTGTAAATAGGTGAGTAAAGGCTGAACTGGAATCCATCCCAGGTATGAAGAGGGAAGCAGACATTTGGTGGCTCTCTTTTCTCTTATGATGATGGAAGCAACTCAGAGCTGAATTATACATGTATGTGTATGTGTATAGTGTGCTCTCTCTGTGTAAGCCATGCCCTGTCTACATTTAAAACACCTTTATGAAAAATATATTTATCCTTAGAATGACTTTTAATATCTTCATCTCTAGGATCAGAGGTGGTTGATCTCGATGGAAAAAGTTCCCTTCTCTACAGATTTGATCAAAAATCCCTGAGCCCAGTAAAGGACATTATTTCTTTGAAATTTAAAACCATGCAGAGTGAGGGGATCCTCCTTCATCGGGAAGGACGAAAAGGAGGTCACATCACCCTGGAACTAAGAAGGGGAAAACTCTTTTTACTTATTAATTCAGGTAAAACTATGATGTCTTTACAGTTTCTCTTATACCATCGAAAGGGCCTTATTTCCAAATCCAGAGGCATTTCTATTAACATATAAAATATCACACTTTCATGTAAAAACAGTTCATATTTTGCAATTTGTTTAAGACTCACTGATGTTTTCTGCACAGGGCAGATAGAATCACATAGCTATTTTCAAACATCATGAAGAGAGGGATGGGTCATTGAAAAATATGCAGGTAGTAAAACCGAGGTTGTAGCAAAGATAAAATTTACATTGAAAATGAGCGTGTGATGGATAATACTAATAAAGAGAATTAACAGTGGGAGAAATTACAACAAGGTTGAGAGGATATTATATTCAAACTTCAGGTGAATCCACCACGCTGGTGGTGTAGATGGAATGCATGCAAGGAGATTGCAATTATTATGAGTGATACTGGTCCACAAAAGAGAATCTTTCAGACTGATGCTGTTATTATTTTTTTCCCCACTTCTCAGGCGAGACAAAACTGCCCGCCACGCACACCTTGATCAACCTCACCCTGGGCAGCTTGCTAGATGACCAGCACTGGCACTCGGTACTTATCCAGCGCCTGGGCCAGCAAGTCAACTTCACAGTGGATGAGCACCGGCACCGCTTCCATGCCCAGGGAGAACTCAGCTACCTGGATCTGGACCATGAGGTGTGATGGTTATTTTTCAGTGCATACGGATTTTATGATGTGTCTGTGGTGGAGCCACACAAAACAAAATACACCGTAAAAAATCCTTTCAGTGTTTCCCAGAGTGAACTAACTCACAGTAGCAGATGTGGGCATAGGGCGATGCTCCATCATTCTTGCAATATGTGAATTTATTATTAGGGAGAGAGCGAGCATCTTCTGTATCTGAGCTGTGTAGTTACAGGGTGTCACATACAGGAAATCTCCACGAGGAGAACTCATTACCACAAGTAAATTTAGAATGCTCTGGATGATTTTTTGTGCCATAGGGCACCCCTGAGCCAAGATTTATGGAGAGTATGTGGCAACGAAGATTAATTCATTACCACTTGATTCAAGTGCACATAGCAATGTGTACCAGAAATGTATGCAAAATAAAATGTCATTATAATTGGTTTTATTATTAAACAGAGGTTTACCACGCATATAAAGATGTATTTATAACCCCCAACCAATATATATCAAATCCAAGGATGATTAATAAGTTAGAATGATCAAGCTCTAGTGAAAGTAAAAATCAAATGCATGTAATTTTTAAAGGTTTTGTATTGAGCTAATATGGGTTTATCCTATTATATAGACTTCAAATGTGCATCATTGCAAATCAACATCTGTGTCTACCACAACACATTCCCCACTACAAGTCTAACTCTGTTCACCATGTGATTTTTTAAAAATTTGCATCTTTTATTATTTTTTAATCTCTATTTGGAATTAAAATATGGAAGTGCAGGATAATGAAAAACAGACTTCTCCATGATGATTGCAGCTATAGTAACTGATCATAATTAAGCAGATCAGAAAATCACTAAACAATATTATTGATGCCATTTTTCTTTCTAAGATCAGCTTTGGAGGGATTCCAGCACCTGGAAAATCAGTGTCATTCCCCCATAAACATTTTCATGGATGTTTAGAAAACCTCTATTATAATGGAGTGGACATTATTGACTTGGCCAAGCGGCAAAAACCACAGGTCATCATGATGGTAAGAGACCTTCACATCTCGAGTAAAATTACAGCTTTTCCCCTCGATAAAGTTGCTCCCTTTTGGATTCCATTTGATACGACGTTTTAGGGTTTACTCTTATTCTTTTAAAAATGTTCTGTTTGGCAATATACATATAAGGGATTAATTCTATCTAAAGGAATTATAATTCACAGGGCGTGATTATTTTTATATGAACACCAACAGGTGGTTTTTCTTTTTACAGCTGATAATTTAATTTTGCTGTGCTATTATTACTCCCAGGAGACAAATTTCTTTTGCGCTGTAATTTCCTTAACAAGATATTCTCTGACAAACTCTCTAAATAAGCATACTGTGTTTCAGGAATCAGATAATATCCATGAGTATTAGCGAGGCATTAGAAAAACTTGTATTTTGCCATGGTCATTCATAATGAATAGAAAAAACTAATAGGCTGTTGGCACATTACATCTGCCACCCTGTCCCCATAGCAGTGTTGGTCACGCTACGTTCTCATCTCATTCTGGGGAAATGTCCAGGCCAGGGTTCAGGCAGGCAAGCAGCACCACGCTGGATTTTATGTATAAGGAATCTGTTTTGGGACTTGGATCTTAATGATGAGAGGAACTGGGAAGTGAATGCTAGTGGTCAGGAAGATGGAGCTCATTAAAGGAGAGCCATGGAGGCTGGAGCAGAGCAGCAGCTCTGTGACCATCCTTCTCTGTGAGCACACAGACATGGAGATGCATGGGGAGACACACACACACACACGTGCACATTGACACATACACATGGACACCACTTTGGAGGAAAAAGACCCATGTTCCATTTCTGATTCAAATGCTCAAATAGCACACATGTTTCCTTTCTGGCTAACTTTAACCACCACCAGATAAGAAAGGGGATCCTGGAATCAGGGTTTTCAGCTTAATTTGGTGATTGAAAAACAGGACCCAAATATCACTTAGAATCCATCTCTTTAATTGTTCAAAAGGAAAAATACATAAGTTGAAGGTTGAAGCTCATGTGGCATCTGTAAATCTCAAAGCACTACATAAATTTATCATTTACACAATATTTTACTCCTGAATCTCAGTATAAGTTGTTAGTATTTATATGATTATACCATCCAGCAAGATCTTCAGTTATTTTGGTTTTTTTTTATGAAAGGGGAAATATCAAGAGAAAAATATAAATATTATAATAGACAGATATGTGTGTTGGCAAAACAAGTTTCCAGACACTGCTCATAAACTGACACCCACTCTTCACTACAAGATGTGTCCTTCCAGGGCGGCAGGCAGCGGTCCAAATAAGCACAAGACCGAACTGCAGCTGGCAGAATGTTTCCATTTTTATGAGGCTTGGTAATCTTATAATTGCATTTACATTATGAGTTAGTGTAGCTTAATCTTCAGCTTTTGTTATTTCATTCACTGGGATGAGATATTTGTCTACAGTGCAAACTCCTTCACTTTTAACAGAATTGCAATATAACCCAATGTCTTTGTCTAACCAAGACTAAAATGGTTTAATCCCAAGGTGTACACTGTGTAATAAAGTTGACTTCATTGACTTTTCCATGGAAATATTTATTAAAACACAGAGATACTGTAGCCTGTGTTTAAAACCCTCCTCTGCAGAACCAAAGCTACATTGTCAGTAGCCACAAAACCTGAAAGCAGAGGGCCTGCACATTAACAGAGAGACAGCTGAGTAAAAAGGGGAAAATTCACATAGTTGATGATTATTGCAACCAATAAAAGACAGTAATTAGACTTATGCTGTGTCCCACAAAGGGGTTTCCATAAGAAATTTTTAAGTGATTTAAGTCATGATGCAGTAAATGGCATTGGGAACAGAGAAACATGGAAAAATATGGGAGGAAAACTAGTAGCTCATTAGTATTAGTTATGTGAGGGAGTTATAGAAAGAGAGTTGGTTTAAATCAATTTTTATTCAATTATATTGAGTAAGATGCTTTGTACAATTTGAGAGATGGGGAGAAAAGAATTTCACCTAGAAAGCTAAGCAAAGATTTGATTCACTGTATTATCACTGGATTTGAAGAGACTTTTAAGATCATGGCCAGGATTTGGGTTTTCATGTTCATAGCAGTTTCTGTTTTCAATCCAGAATAATTAGAGATTGATAACCAGCTCTGGTGAATATTTCAAAGTCTGTTACTGATGTGATGGGTCATCCTTGTAACTTTTTCTCTGGCTTTATTCTCAGGGCAATGTGTCATTCTCTTGTTCACAACCACAGTCTGTGCCTGTGACTTTTCTCAGCCCCAGGAGTTACTTAGCACTGCCTGGTGCCTCTGGGGACGACGAGATTTCTGCCACTTTCCAGTTTCGAACCTGGAATAAGGCAGGACTTTTGTTATTCAGTGAACTTCAGCTGGCTTCAGGGGGTCTCCTCCTCTTTCTTAGTGATGGGAAACTCAAGCTGCATCTCTACCAACCAGGAAAATTATCCAGTAATATCACAGCAGGTAATAAGTGTGTCCCTGCAGGCAGAGCATATGTATTAGAAAGATTTCATTATCTCTCTGTCCCTTCTCCTTAAATTTCTGTGCATAACCAAAAAATTAATATTTGTTTAATAAATGAAGACCTGCAATTAATGAGCTTATCAGTAATTGTCTGAGAGGAACTTGATTCCAATTTCATTTGAAATGTGGCTCCAACACCAGCAGCTCTTACTAACCAAAATGATAGTTGCGAGGCAAATAGAAATTTCTTTCCATGACCCTTTCACCCCCTGCAGATAAATCAGCATATTGTGAGGAAATCTGTTTTGGGAAGAATGTGAAAAACTTAGAAATGGACCCAAAAGTATACTGGGCATCTTCAGTGGAGAACTGGACTTTGTAATATAGCTGCTGTTCTTACGGGCTCTTTGAAGGGTGGAATCTATATTGCCATATTTATATGGCCAGAAAACCTAAATATTCAGTCACACTGACTTCCCTTGCTGGTGATTCTGTACAAGAGTTGGATCTATTTTGGGAGAATGGTAAGATTTGTGCAGTTCCCCATTTGGATCCCAAACAGTTCTCTCTTCTCCCAGGCAATACGGTATCATTTTCATGATTTGAAGTAATATAATTAAGGAGACTATATGAGTGTCTGGAAAATTAATGTCTAATTTAGGTCAGTGCTTTGGGTGAGGGATATTTTTGTCTCTTCATTAAAATTATATAGTTCTTGACAACGGATCTCCATCACATTCTCATATATATGGAATAACACCCAAGCCAAGTAACCAGAGGTCACATTGTACAAATCGCTACATCAATTTAATAAATGATGTTTCAAAACAACTTAAAGGTGCCATTGGACTACTCCTCTATATTCACTGTGACCAAAATTAATAGACTATGACTGGGAAAGGAAGAAAATTCAATATAGCCAGGAACTAAATATAAGAAAAAACAAGTGTGCAAATGGATTCTCAAACACCTAGTCATTATAGAGCCTTCTTATTGTTCATATACCACTGCGGCTTCATGTGGGACCTGAAAGCTCAATATTAATTATAATTTTTTAAAAGGTACTATACACTTTTTAAAATATGATGTAATTGTATGGGGAATATAAAAATAAAATTTAAATAAAAAAATAAAATATGATGTTCAAAAATGTTGCGCATTTGCAGACCTGATGCAAGGAAATAAATTAATCAACGTCATATTAATAATAAATAGACTTCCTAAAATGAGGGCCTAAAATTGTGAGCTTACCATTAATGTGTAGTGTTTTGTGATACATCTGACAGCTTCAGATGTGGTTATATTCATAGCCCAATTTTCAGCCTCGTAAGGAAACTGCTTCAGTATAGTGTTCCTGTCCTGAGCCCCACCAAGCTCATTCATTTCAAAACAGGTTTATAATAAATCATCGGGCACAAGTGTACATAGAATACCCAGAATGATTGAAAAATCTCTAAATTGATGTTTAAGTTACCATACAGTAGGATCCATTATGACATCATAATGTTATAGGACAGGGAGAGGGGCAGCCCAAACCCCCGCAAACCTGCCTATTCTAAATGGGTTCTGCCATTCGCCGCATCAACACAAAACATAGGAGACTTTAATGGGAAGGAACTTTAATAAAACTAGGAAACAATACAGGTAAGGTAAAGAGTCTAGTTTCTAAATGAAGCACCCAAAGTTACCCGTCCCCTCGTGGGTAAAAGTCCATCCATATGGGATCGGCCCAGAGCAAGGCCCCACAGCCTGCCACAAGTCTAAAGCATCTTTCAGTGGGGACCCACAGAAAAGGGTCAGAAACAACCAGACAAGACCGGAAGGAAAAGAGCAAAATCAACATCAAGATAAAAGCTGTCATTGTCACCTCCCCACGGGTCTCACCCACATCTGTGTCACCCCGTCCACGACCAAAAGACAAGCACAGTTTCTTCACGTGTCTCTAGGCTCCATGCGCCTCCTCCAGGTCTCCTGGCTCCATCCTGCTTCCTTCCTCAGTCTCTTCTGCAGCTTCTCCTCTTCCTGCTCAGCTCCACCCTCCCTTGGGTGGGGCAGGGAACCTCCCCCTTTCCTGGGGACCACCCTGTTACAATAAGACTTAGTGTGATTGTTGCCATTAGCTAATAATAAGGAGCCTGGAGTAAATATGGATGCCAGTACAGGAAAGTTCTCTCCCTTTCGGGACACAACAGGTCGTTGCTACAGCTACCCCACCCTTGTTTTTTCTAGTTCTTTTAAACATTAATGTTTCTAGTTTCACTGAAGCAAATACACTTTGCATTTGAAGAAGACTGCTTTTTAAATTTTATATTGAGGCAGCATTACATGAAATCAGTATATAACTTTGAGTGGGACATCATCACACCTCAGCAACTACACGTTTTGTTCACCACTGAAAGTCCACGTCTAGACTGCTTAAATGGTATTTGGGTAGGTGGTCAGCTTGTTCTCACATATGTAAAATGTTCATTAATTAAGTCAATTGTCAGAATGTATTACAATGCCACTTAAAAAAGAATCAACATCAATTCTGATGGAGTAGTGTTAATTATACTAAACATTTCCATGATATAAAGATGATTCCATTTTCCATAGCTCCTGAAGATATAAATTACTAGTCTTACATGTTTTAAAAGCTCAAAATTTTTTACAACTTTTGTAGTGAAATAGGAAATAAATTCCATTGAGGAAGAACTGAATTGCACAAATGTTCAAATGGTCAGGCTATGATTTTAATGTTATGTGTAGTTTTGCAAATTGTCACTTGGACATATTTGAAAAGATGTCAGCCTATGTCATTTTTGAAATATGAAATTGAGTATAGTAGTCTAAGTCCTAAAATATATTAGCAGTCAGTAACAGAAAGTCCCTCATTACACCAATATTTCTATTCCTTATCGTCGTTAGAGGTATCAAAGCACAAACCGTTTAGTTGGCATCAAGAACCTAATAAAAGGTATAATTTCAGCTCCCTATTTACAAGGAATTCTTGATGGTCACATTTGAGATTTCAGTATTTCTGCTGCTGTTTTTGCCTGGGACTGAAAATCAGGCCCCTATGCAAGCCGCTGGCTGCCATGTGCAGGCCTGGGAGGTGCAGGCTGGTGGTGTATGAGATACCGCTGCATTTTTCATACGTGGCATTCATGATGCCTGTGGCCCTGGCTCTGGGACAGCTCTCTTGATTTGTCATGCCCAGCAGAAGGCTTTTCTTATCCCCCCTGTCCCTTTCACAGTTGGAGTAGTCCTGCATTACAGATTATAAACCTCTCAGTCCCTCATACTCCCACTTTCCCCTAAGTGATTGGCACCAATGACCTCCATATTTTCATCTTGACAAGAGCTATCGGGTGGCCAGATCCTGAATCCTGGTTAGTGTATCTAGTTAGTGAATATTGGAATTCCTGGCACTGGTTCAGGGCACCGACAGATGCTCGGAAACAAGCAAAACCCTGCAGCTGCTCCTTGAGCAGTGGCGTTTGTATGATTGCCTTTCACACTTAGGCAAAGAACCTCCCCTTTACAGCAGGCTTATTTTTAATTTATTCATCTTCTTTATGGATGCCTGTTACAGTCTTAAGAGATGGTAATGGTAGTTAAGCTGTTACAGTATTTCTGTGGCAGTTGGAGACTGATCCCTGATGCCATACAGGAAGAAGCTAGATCACTTTTTCCTCTTGCTCTGTTTGTGTGTGTGTATGTGGCTTAGGCCCAAAAGAGAGGGAGAGAGGGAGGAAAGGGAAGAAGGGAGGGCGGGAGAGAGGTAGAGAGAGAGAAAGAAGCAGGAGGAGGGGGGTGGTGTTGGGAGCAGTGTACTAGAATTAAGGTCTAGTTGTCTAATATCATGCATAAGGAAAAATACAAATTTTTCAATTGCTCGTCTCCTTCCCTGCTTTTACACTGAAGTGGCCTTTCTTTGATAGAGGCTCACTTCTCATCAGACCTAGAGTGGGAAGGAGTTGTATACCTAAAAAAAAGTAAATAAAATCTGATTTTAAGAGGATCGTTTTTACTACATAAAGTTAAATAAAATGAACTAAATGGGCCCTTCATTCATTAATTGGAATAATAAATCCTAGTAACGGGTAGTAAGTCTCCTCATCATAAACCTGTGATGGCTATCACAAAGGAAACGCGAGAATAGCTTTCTGAAGTTTCTCCCACGAAACACAGCACAATTTCATAATCTCCTAGCTGGGTAGATGGGGGCATTTAATTGTGTAAAATGGCAGAGTGAGCTGCTGGTCTTTTGTTCTTAATCTAAATTGGCTTCTATTGACAACTGTCTCAAGTCTCTGCCTTGCTCCTGCTGTCTGCCTAAGCCTGTGCTTACTTGGAGCAGTGCTCCCTCAGGTGTGGCCCCTGGACTAACACTGATTCAGTGAAAGACCTGTTAACCAAGATGACTATAAAAATTGAAAATTTCCTGAAGATTTTCATATTTAATATATCACTCACTAGTTGTCAGTCTATGTAGCATACCCAGCAAATGGATGTTTAAGTTCCTATACAATAGAATCCATGATGACATTGTATGACTTAGTAAGACTAAGCTCTTAGAAACTGTTAGGACAATAAGTTAATTGCTGCAACAACTAAGCATATGGTTAGTGGATTTATTCTTTTTCTTTTTTATTATTTTTTTAAGATTTATTTACTTATGCATACAAGAACTGGGGTACAGGCCAGAGATGTGGGGGTGAGAGGATTCACCAGAGACAGAGTGGGGAACAGAACAGGCAGATTGACTGAAATACCCTGCTGAGGGGAGCAGCAGGCGAGACAGGAGTGGTCTGCCGCTCCATGTGGGTTGCTCCCTGGCTGCCCGGGGATTGAACTTGTGCTGCAGAGGCTGCGGATTGCTTCATAATGCGGTGCTTAACCCCTTGCACCACCAGGGAGGCCCTCTGTCTTTTTTATTTAACTTTTTTGGAATTCATCCTTACTGAAATTTATAAAAGTACCCATCTACAGTAGGTTGGAAAAGACCACTCATTCCCACCAGTAGTTGGGGAAGCAGATTCCTAGAATATGGAAAGCACAGAAGTCCAGTTGTGTGTTCAGGCGTATCCCATCTTTGAGGAAGAGCTTTTGGGAGACATGTGGTGGGGCAGGGGCACCAGCAAATGTGTGTGTGATGCAAGACTCGGAGCAAGGGTTTTTGCTTTAAATGTATTCTCTGATAGGGAGCCCTGGAAGACAAATCTGGGACTGGATTTATTTTAGCCCAATCTTGGAGTCAGGGATTATGCAATTCTATTCAGCCATCCATTTCCGAGGCTACTCAGAAAGTGTGTCTAAAAGTAATCTAACCTATCTTCTCCATTTTTTAGATTTCCAGTCTTTTTCATTAGCTTCCACAAACCAGCCCAGACTTGGATGCTTGGAAATCTTTTTTTGCTTTATGAATGTAATGTAAAAATGAGCTTTGGTGCCCAGAATGGAATTTTGTGTTCTACTAGATAAGTCGAGGGTGAAGGGCCCCCTCGCCTAAGGGAGCTTCCACACATTTTCTACCTAAAAGCTTGTAGATAATCTCCAGGGAAAGAAATTGCACATAATACCAGCCAAGAGGCTCAGGACCTCTCAGTTTAATAGAGTAATTACATTTATGTTTACTGATTTGAACTGCAGAATCATACAGAGTTGAATATTCCCTGGCTGTAAACCCTCCTGGTAAATCCACAGCGGAGAGGCTTGGGTGCTACCTGTCTGAAGGATGGAGCTCAGAGTCCTTACAGACCTAACTCCTGTGGGAGAGAAAGGCTGCACCATGTCATGGTTTCCTGATGCTGGGACTGCCTTAAGGGGGATTAGATATTGATTCTTAGAGGTGATAAGAAAACTTTGATTTTCGATTATTAACAATTTTTGACTCTCTCTCTTTCTCTCTCTCTCTCTATATATATATATGCACTTAGAAAATAAGGCAAAAAATCATAAAAATGAATAAAAACAACACCAGCTTTCCTTCATGCAAAAATTACTGTTTATATATTGGAATATTTCCTTTCAGTCTTTCCTATACTGATAGAATTAAAACTATAATCAGAATGGCATATACATGGTCCATTCTCATTATTTGTACTAGTTATCTTCTCTGAAATTGGGGTGAGCCCTGAATTAGAAAATACTCAACCATGGCTCCTAAGGGAGATGAAGGCTTGGATTCTTGTGAGCCACTGCTCACGGCATATTTATCAGCCAGTCAGTATGTAAACTTGTTTTATGTATGATGCTGTTTAAAGACTCCTTGTTTAATAGATGGTTCATTACTCTTGCACTCATCACCAGCAGCACAGTAATTCATGTCTGAAGGAAGTTCTCTAGCACATATGTGGTGATGTGATGGCACTAAGAAACACCCAGCAGCCTTCATCGCTGTGATTGGGAGGTCTTTTAAGCTGCAAGATCACCAAAGATGTGAAAAACGAGATTACATGTGAGACCTGAAACAAAGCAACACTTTGACTTCCGGTGCAGATATGTGTTCGTCACCATGAACTATCCTCTGCTCTGCACATTTTTGAGAATGATTCCCAAAGTTCCTCAAGTATTGATCTGGGGCTTGCAAATAATGTGGAACCTATAAATTATGAGGATCAACTATGTAGATGTGGTTTTACTTACTACTTAATTTTTTTAACTTTACATAATATAAATAGCCATAAACTTTCACTTTTCATTAGTCTCTTCAAATATTTTTATATACTTTGCGAAATATCCTCCTATAATATTATAAAAGATGTCTGCACAAAGCTGTTTTTAAAAGGCGGATGAATTGTTTTATCAGGTATAACTTAAAATTCTAGAATATATCTATGTTCTTTTTAAGTCCCTCGCCTTAAAAAATAATTTACATGACAGAAACTGGAAATTAGTTTTTACCAAATAATTTTAAAAATTAACAATTCAGGACTATCTGAAGTTGAGATGGTGTTCTCTCTACTGAGGCCCTGAGAAAGGGGGGTAATGCTATACCCTTTTCCACATAAAGGGGGCCAGTTTCCATCTTGAGTCCCTTTCCCAGATGTGGGTACTGAACTTGGCTGTGCGGGTGATCTGTTGTGTTTCTAACCAAGCACTAACAGTGTTTACTGTTGAGTGACACCTCTCATCACTGGTTTTCTGCCCCCCCAGGTGGTGGATTAAATGATGGGCAGTGGCATTCCATCTCTGTAGCTGCCAGAAGGAACCACCTGAGTGTGGTGGTGGATGGCCAAGCGGCTTTTGCTGCTCCTTCCCTGGGGCCCGAGCAGCTTTCTTCCGGTGGCACCTACTATTTTGGAGGTGAGGCACGAGGTCAGGCCGGATGTACATTTGAACCGTGTTTGGGCTTACTACCCCCCATCTTGGGGAAGCCATTGTGGAGTCACCAATGTCAACAGGACAGAATAATTTCTCACTTTCTTAGAGCAGGGAAATGTTGAGTGAATCAAGATGACAGGGGTATATTTTTTCAAGGTAGATTTATTTATGTTTATGATTTCTATAAGATTCATTGTAAATAGTCCATTCCCTTGAGTTCTTCCTTTTAAACTTTGTTATGTTTTCCTAATGTTAAATGGCCCCTATATGTCTTTTTTTGAATTTATGGGCTGGTTTTATTGCAGTGCTCATGCCTCCTGGCATCCCTGGAGCATCCTTATTACTTTTCCACGGCCCAACGAAGGGCAAGGTGGCAGTGGAAAAATAATCTAGCTTAATTAGCCACAGAAACCTCTTCTCCTTGCTAAGTAATAATGCACTGATACATTTGATAAAATTAGGGCATCACCCTTCAATACCAGGCCACCTCTGTAAGAGAACACATACGAATGAAGCCCTTATCTATCCAGTGGATGCTTGATTGAAAATAAAGCTTGAGAAAGGAAACCTTGGAAATAGAAGAGTCTTGAGTCATGGAAACTTAAAAAGAAAATGTTATTTACCATTAGGAAGGCAACATTGTGAAACTGTTAGTGATACAACTTCCAATTATGATTTGAGGAGTTTCTTCTTTTATTTTTAATTGTGATTGTTGCTTCTGTGTGGAATGGCTTTTGAATTTGGTGGAAGAGGTTCAATCTTTATTATTCATTAATAAGATACTGATTCCTTTCTACATTTGACAACATCCAGACCAAGAATCACTCATTTAATATTAAATGCAATTGCCCCATCCGCAAGCAAGCAAACAAACAAACAAAAAACCAAACCCTACCTAGTCTGTTACTGTCAAAGATGGCATTATACAATCTTAAAAGATGTAATTGCCTCCATTTGTGAAATTTATTCATTCCTGAACTGGGCTGTTTCTAAAACCTTCTGGAATATAGGACTGATTTAATGGCAATCCATAGGAATAAATTCCTTGAATAAATGGTAAGATATATTGAACTATTTAACCAAGAGTGTTCACTTTAAAGGAAAAGACTTAGCAGCGCTGAAAGAGAGAAGGGAAAAAATTGTTAAATGATGCAAAAAGGTGCTTTGTGATCAGTTTTTAGCTTTTACAAATTACACATTTTAAATATGGGTTCTCTAGGATGAGGATGGATGGTTGTCTAATTTCCATATACTCCTCTCTGCAACCTTTTTGCTCTTGAATAACACACAGCACCGCAAAGCTGGAGATACCAAATTTCATGTAGAGTTCTCACATCCCCGCTTGTGTAAATCAAACACTATCTGTCCAGCGAACTGGCTGCATCACCACGAAGCCAAAACCCGACATCTCACTTCTGGTACAGTGACACAGAGTGATAATTTATCTGTCATCCTCAGAGGTGCTTAACATGCTGACTGCCTCTAGTAATGGATCCATCCATTAATTCAGCATTAGGTATTCCCCAGAAATCTTCATAGTTTAGAACTTTCATCTTAAACGAGTTCCGTGCAGAACTTCTCTCTGCTGTGGCATTATATTAACTCGTGGATGCCTGTTATCTTAGACTAATGAGACTAACCTGGGCTGAACCTTTCTTTGTTCTCAGGATCTCTTGCTTATTAAACAAGGTAGTTAGAATATGAAGCACTTTCTGTAAAGTTCCATGACCTTGTCTTGTGACTATGAGTTTACTTAGTTTTCTTCCCTACAGGCACATTGCACAATTTGTTTTATTCTGAAATAGTTTGAAATGTGTCAGGAAACACCACCTGGAGAAAAGGAGATTAGCAGAGCTGTTTATATCCCTGACATGTTGTAGTTCCCCCCAAATAATATTGAACTATTATCCTCTCCGTTTGTGTTTTCACATTCTTAATTGGTTAATAAGTCATCTAGAAAACACATCGAGATTATAGTAACCACATCCTGTGCCTCCGAAGAATATCAACCACTGAAAATGCATTTAGTACCAAGTGTAAAAAATTGACACTCAAAAGTGTTTGACCCCATTATCTTCATATATTAAATTTGAAACTTCAAAGATTCCATTATGCTAAATGAAATATTTCCATTGTGTCCAGTAACAGTTTTAAATATAAATATTGGCCTTCACTTGCCATGTAAATGTATTTTGTTAGGAAAACAAAGCATTAAGGGCAAATACCTGCAGTCAAAATATTTAATTATAATGGTAATTCCCAATGGAAAACTAGCATGGATTGTAAGGAATTAAGAAGTTGCTGATTCATTTATTATTATTTGAAATTGTAATCGTGGTTGACAACCATAATGACAAAAAAAGATTAATGAAAACTATATAAGTATAATATATGTGTTCATACTCCATAAAATGATTTATTTCACTTGGGTGGAGAAACACTTAGTACATCATTAAACCTCAGACAATAATGGTTGCTATTATATTTCTTTATTATTTAAATGATTAGAAACAGTTTGGGGTAAATGTTAGGAAAAAAATCAATACAAATGGACATTCTTTTATGAGGGCAAAAAAAAACAATCAAACTGAAATGTTTTTGACATTACATCAAGGTTTATTAAAATTCATATGTTGTAGCTCTCACGTGCCATGAAAATAAAGTAATTAAATAGTTGGTAATTTTATTGCAAGTCATATAACTCTTTTCCCAAATAGTTAGCTTTAAATACAAAGCTTATTTCACCACTATTGATTTCTCTTTTCTTATCTGCAGTACACATTTTCATCCTTGATGCTCTTCTTCTTGCATTCCAGAAGACAGAGTCCCTGTGTTTTAAGCCGTACATAATTATTATAGCTGGCTACATGTGTAGGATTCTGGAGCTAGTATTTTTAAATTGTAGATCAAGTTAGTATCCTTGCACATTATCATTGTAACAGTAGCAATTTGCTATGTCCTACAGTGATAAAGAGAAATGCTTTGTATTAATTGCAGTTTGTAGTATATATTAAACTAATGATGATGTAATGGGCTTTTTCTCCCTTTTTTAATTTCAAGAGAGCAATCAGTTTTCTTTTTTTCATAATGAAGTATTCTGTGATACTGAATCCTGATTCATTATAATGTATCCTGCTTTTACTTTGTTTTGTTTCATTTTTATTAGGTTGTCCTGACAACGGCTTTGGCTCCAAATGTAAAAATCCACTTGGTGGATTTCAGGGCTGTATGAGACTCATTTCTCTCAGTAACAAGGTGGTAGATCTGATTTCAGTTCAGCAGGAGGCCCTTGGGAACTTCAGCGACCTTCAGATAGATTCTTGTGGAATTACAGACAGGTGAGGACGGTCTCATTCCTTTCTTTTGACCTGCTTCATTTTCAATATTTTTGGCAGCAGATTAAAAATTATATAGGAAGTGAACATTTTTCTCTCTTTCCCACATCGTCTTTTCCACAGGTAGTGGATTATATTACCATGAGAACTATGAAAAACATGCCTTTAGTTTTATACTTAATATTCGGAGGGGTAAAAGTTAGCTATAACTAACCACATCGTTTATACGTACTCATGCTACCAGTTTACAAAAGATGATGTTGATGCTAGTATAATTTTAGGTGGGTATCAGTGTATCAAAAATACATCATTAAATCCAATAGTAATATTGCTCACCTGGCACCAGTACAGCAGAAACCAATGAGATCAGTCAAAAAAGGGCATTTTGCTTCCCCAACAGCTTCATGTTTTCAGAGACAGAGGGATTTAACTGCCTGCTATGCTCCTAATATGTACCTTTTACAGCCCACTACTATCTTCTCTGCCGAGGAAATGAAAGCTCTGGAGCTGTAGTATTGATCACGGTGTAAAGCTGGTCCAGAAGTTTCAGTAGGAATGCTAGTATAGAAAACGGAAGTACAAGATTTTGGCATTAATTGTAGCAGACAAACAACTCTTCCAGTAATAATTGATAGTCAATAATTTAAGAGTAGTTTGTGACTTGGGCAACAATAGCCCAATAATCACAATAATCTTGCCAGTCATGCTTTAATATCAGTCGTGTTCATTTTAATTATTGAGTTCAGAATAATGCTATGGTCATTAAAGATTAAAAAATCAAACAGCGACGGCTTAGTAACTCTTTCCTTGTGCCTGGGTGGCGGTTAGTTCTTATCGATTTCATAGCTTTGAGATTTGAATTCAGGTGGTCACCATTATCCTAGAGTCTAAAGTTACCTAGCTTCATTTAATTTTCCTAAATGTGATCATGTTATATAGATTTTACTTCAATATCATTAATTCTAGCCGAGTTTTACATTGTGTGAAAGTCTTTTGAAATTTAAATTGGAATGGACAGGGAATCGGGGTAAACCAAAATTGTACATGTCACTTCTGTTTTGGGGATGTTGATGTATATATTGTTCAGGTTCACAAGCAATGAAAATAGTGCTGGAAATGTCTAAGGAAAAGCTTTGGAGGCAAGAGAAAATGGGTTGATAGATTTTTTTTTTACTTTGCATTGAAATAACTAACATTAAGAAGAGTGTGAAATGCTATTGTTTAGGTCACTACTTCACTATACAATGTTATTTGCCTTAGGTTACTTACTAATAGTCAAACAGAACGACCATATGTTGAATTTAAATGAAATTCACAATCTAGGTTTTGACATTGCAATTTAAAAAATGTGATAAATCTAGTCTGATTAACAAAATCAAGGAAAATGTATTCAACATCTTTTAGTAGCAGATCAAGTAGAAAAAGTACATGTATTACAGTAATTAAAGATTCTTTCTTCAAATTTTAGGCATAGCCACTTCTGTCTGTACCTTTTAGGTTGAGGCCCTTTAAAAATCATTCTACCCTGCCCTTGTCTTTTCTGATTACCAACTAGGATTGGTTTTTTTTTTTTTTAATTTTCCTTTTCTTCTAGAATATCACTGATTGAAATGCTTTAAGAAATTAAACGCATTGTAAAACATTCTTTGAAGGCAGTTTTGTGAATCTACAAAAATGCTGGAATGTATATGCAAACTTAATTGGCATGGAGAGATGCCCATTTTATTTATTTTTTATTTTTTAAGGAGTTTGTAAAATAACTTGGGTATTGTAAGTACACACACACACAAGCAAATAGAGAAAGAACTTATAATAGAAAGTCTTCTAAAAGAAATGACCTCAGGGAGATCAGGGGTTCGGGCCTTAAGTTTGGTCAAGCTGAGTGAAAGAGTAAGGCTGTCTTACACAGTCCTTATGCACAAAAAAGTAATAAATAGCATTACATTGCGTCAAAAATGGAAAAATCCTATAAGCAAAACATGAAATTCTCATTGTTGGTATTTAAAGGGAGATGACCAAAATGCCTTTATTATACATTCCTGCCATGTTTTGTTGTTTAATTTTTATTCTGGGGTGAATGAGAGCATGTCAGACCTTGGTCTCAATTGGTCTCAGTGTCTCTTTCATTCTAAATTCTAAAAAGCACCAAATCTCACTCTCACTAGGCTGTTTGAGTTAATTCTGAAACTTCCCAACATTTGTCAGTGCCAACTTATAGTAATTATTTTTAGGGTCCCAGGACAAACAGTATTGCTAACACTTTCATCTAAGACGTGGCTTTTGTCCAAACAAACTTTATGTCCAACAAACTTTAGAAGTGTATTTGTCCTAACAACCGAGGAATCATTTGAAAAAGTAATATATTTGAAAAATATTTTTATTTCATTGTTAATGAAACACAGTTACTTCATAATTGCGCTTGTTTACTCTTGGGTCCTGTTCAGTTTTTCAAAGCTTGGAATCAGATCAGATACCGCCACCCTCATTGTTAATTCAGCATTGATTTCCCTTGGAACTTGTTTGATATCAACTCCTGAAAGGCCACCTTCTCAAAGATAGGATGTTATTAAAAGGAATGCAATGCAATCTCATGTTGAAATTGAACTACTTCAAGCTAGTAAGTCCCACAGCTTGACAGATATTGAGTGTGTTGAATTTGCCTCTTGAAGAAATACATTGAGTAATTCTATGAAAAATTTAAAATATCCTGGGAACCCCTGGGAGTTTGATTCAGTCCTGGGGCACCATGGACACCCTGCTTGGAATTTTTGTGTCTTGACAACTTCAGCAATTCTAGATTAAACACTGAGTGAATAAAGCTTATCCCCCTTTTCACTTATTCCTCTGCTCCCTCTTCTTGTTCCTTCTTCTTTAAATATTCAAAGTCATTGCAAGTCAGTATGACTAAATGTTATTTTATGTAAGCAAGTAATGTTTCGGGAAGATACTGAATTAGTATTACATCATCTAGGGAAAATAAAGGGATCTGATACAGCAGGGCAGGATGAGAATTAGCAGTCCCACCACCTGAGAATGGTTGAAATTGAATGAATTTGTTGATCTAAGGTTTAGTCCTGGGACTAAAGGACTTAACAAAACACTGGCTAATGTTCATCAGGTTCAATTTGCTCTTTATGTTATGGCTGGTGTTCTTCTTTTTACATGAAAGGAAGTATGAATTTCAGGTATAAATGATCTACATCTTATAATGTTCTAACACTGAAAAGTGGTGATTGTATGTGCACCTTCTTTCAGGTGTTTGCCCAACTATTGTGAGCATGGCGGTGAATGCTCCCAGTCCTGGAACACCTTCCACTGCAACTGTGCAAACACTGGCTACCGGGGAGCCACCTGCCACAACTGTGAGCCCAGCACCACCTGCTTGTTCTTGCCTCTGCTACTCCTTGTTCACTCCCTTCGATTGCTCTGTGTGATTCTGTCCATGTGTTTGCAGATATGTTTTCGAGTTGCAAGCCAGCATTTTAGCATTCTGTTGCGTTCTGATTTAATTTTAATCCACACCTCTTTTCAGAAAGCAGTTGAGGTAGCTTATAGATAGTAGGAAAGAGGGAAGAAAAGAGAAAGCTAACTGGCCAGAAGAGAAAATGTACAGAAAATGAGGTGTTCGAGGATAAAAAAAAAAATGCGGTGCAGAATAGGTCACCCTTAAATTTCTTGTAACTTGATTAGTGAAGGGGATATAGATGGTAGGCGATGATTAAATTAACCATAATCGCTTTATTGATCACTTTCTAAATAGCCAGATGTTGGTCTAGCATTTTATATGTCCCAATTCATCTAATTCTGATGTATGTAGGAGTACTCTATTATCCATATGTCTACTACTATGGTAACAGAGAGATTAACCAGCTTGCCCCAGCTCCTGAAATAATTGGGACAGAGTGAGGGTGTACACTTGTAGCCCTGCTCCAGAGCTTAGGGTCACAACCAGCACCCTTCTCTGCTATAAACCATGCACTGCTGTTTTGGTGTAATATTTGTGTGGGTTGTAAGATTCATGGCATTTTGTCATCCCCTTATTTAGTATGTGCAATGGGAAGACCCACATGTCTGGTTTTTTTTTTCTTCCCATTTTTGTATGTTTTACTGACATTTCTGAGTCCCTAACTCCAAGTCCAATTTCCTATAGCCTGGACTTCAGGCAAGGACACTAGGGTAGGCATCATCCTCACTGCCCTTGCTGTCTCCACCTTAGATTGCTTTGTATCTTGCCAGAATGGAGACTGAATCCTGTGCTCCCAACCCTGGGGCTTCCAGAAAGGATCCTCAGAAGGCCTGATTCATGGCTGGTGAGGGAAGGTACAGTAGGAGCTCCTGGGCCCCCTTCTGTGCCTCCAGAAGGATAGCCAAGTCATTTGTGGGTCTGATGTAGTGGGTGTCTCATAAGAGCATGAGAAATTCCTACACTGGCTAAAGCCACACCTCACTGTAATCTGAGACCAAATCACTCGTCCCAGGTCCCATAGATAGGCAGTGTATTTTCATTTTTATGCCTTCCATCATATGCTGTAATAACTAGCTCAAAACAGAAAGCTAGTGTTATGTGTTGTTACTTGACTGATTATTTATTTTTAATTATAATCATTGGATGAATCTAAATATAAAACAAACAACTCAGAGGAAATATGTGGATGATAAATAAATAAGATATTTTCGTCTGTGGCCCCAACTGGATCCAATCATTGAGTTCATTTATTAGATTCTTGTGCAGTAGTATAAATAGAACTGAAGGGAGTCACTGTTTTGAAACAGCAGAGTGGCAGGGGTGGGGTCTTTTAAAAGGTGTCATTTGAAAATAGCGGTCATGTTTAGAAAAACTCAGGCCACACACATAAAGCAGAAGTACTCCCAATCCAATGCCATGCCGCCTCCGCTGGCAGCCCCGCTCCACAGTCACGCGGTGTATCCTTCCAGCCTTGCTAAGGAATTGATGAGCAGATGCATGTGCATGCAGATAGAGATGGATAAATCAATCCTTTTTGCATGCCTGCTTCACTGCACAAAATACCAATGTGACTAGAAAACAATCCATGCTTATATATACAATTGAAGCAAAATAAAACCATCCGATGTGGAAGAGTAAAGTAAATTGGTATGATTATCTAAAATTTCTGTAACTCTGAGCAAATCAGTTACATTATTTCCTATTGTCTATTGTCTAAAACCCACTTAACATAATTTTCAAAAATTTAGAATGATCAGCGAAGGGACATTCAGGGGATGTTTTCTCATTCCACAGAATAAGAAGCTTGATGGAAATTATCAGTACATTTAACCAAGTATTCAATAGATGTGTGCATTCTATGCCGTTGTTAACAGCAAACCTTGTACATGGCAAATATATAATCGTATAATGAACAAACATCCAATTACGGATCGCAACACATTTGAGACCACTTGGGGGCATGGTTTCATATAAAATATTTCTTCTGCTTTGAATTTTAATGATCTTAAATTCTCATTACAGAGCATTAGAGAAAGTTTC